CCTGAAGGAGCAAAGGCTCCCTAGAAGAGGGAGAGACCTCTCTGTTGAGGTCACTTTACTGGATCACAGAGCAACGGTCTGATCAAGTTCAATTCAGCAGCAAGGTGGTGGCTGGGCTCAGCCCTGCTCAGTGCCCACTGGTTAAAGGCTCAGCAGACGCAGCCCACCGTCCCGCCGGCCATCCTTCCCAGCCTGTGCGCCCTTCCTTACACCCAGGACGCTAGCATCCGGTGGCATTCAAGCTGCCGCCTACTGCCTTTTTCTCCACAGTACCCACTCCATGCCTTCCCCCAAAGAAATGTGTTGCATTTTATTTCTCATCATCTAATAAGCTGGGATTGGCTCTCCTAATTGTCTGCGGTGTGTTTGCCCCTCCCGTTGTTAGGTAATCGTGCTGTCCACGCGACTCCTAAAGCCAACTAATATCCCTGAACTGTTATTTACAACTGACCGGCTGCATCCAGACCTTGGCTTCTGAGCATCTGCTGAGAAGAGGAGACCTACCCGAGCTGGAAATCCCAGTACTATTTTCTGTCCCCATCCAAGATATGCCTCCCAAACCAGTGTCCCTGTTACTAATCGTGGGTATGACTGAATTATGCCCAAAGCATCTTTTTTTTTTTAACATCTTTATTGGAGTATAATTGCTTTACAATGGCGTGTTAGTTTCTACTGTATCACAAAGTGAATCAGCTATACGTACACATATATCCCCATATCCCCTCCCTCTTGCATCTCCCTCCCACCCTCCCTATCCCACCCTGCTAGGTGGTCACAAAGCACCGAGCTGATCTCCCTCTGCTATGCGGCTGCTTCCCACTAGCTGTCTATTTTACATTTGGTAGTGTATATATGTCCATGCCACTCTCTCACTTCGTCCCAGCTTACCCTTCCCCCTCCCCGTGTCCTCAAGTCCATTCTCTACGTCTGCATCTTTCTTCCTGTCCTTCCCCGAGGTTCTTCAGAACCTTTTTTTTTTTTTTTTTTTTTGGATTCCATATATATGTGTTAGCATACGGTATTTGTTTTTCTCTTTCTGACTTACTTCACTCTGTATGACAGACTCTAGGTCCATCCACCTCACTACAAATAACTCAGTTTCCTTTCCTTTTATGGCTGAGTAATATTCCGTCGTATATATGTGCCACATCTTCTTTATCCATCCATCTGTCGATGGACACTTAGGTTGCTTTGCCCAGAGGATCTTGATACCCACACTGTAAAGTACTTTGCTGGCATTTGCTGAGATTCTTAAAAAAAAAAAAAAAACTTCATTTTTCTAAAGGCATCAAACTCCCTTTCAGCTGGCCTAATTCATGATAATTCCACTTTATCCTTAACCCTCTCTCTGTGATCTTTCTGATTCCACCTGCAAGTTCATTCATTCTAAATGAGTGCCTGTTGGTGAGTATTGGTAGATTACAAGACGTTTGACCCGCAGTTGCTCCAGGAGAAGTTACCCATGCTTTAGAATCGTGAGTGTGAGGGAAGTTTGGTTTTTAAGATTATATAGCTGAGGAGGGAATGCTGCAAATAGGATCTGAGGCTTTGTTTGCCTCTTGATCTGAGACATTTCTGAAAAGGCCAGAAGGGAGGGGTAGTGGCTAGGGCAGTGCTGATTGTCTGCCTGTGTTGTAAATCGCCGGCCTGTACAAAGGGCTGCATTGTTGCAGTTTGCTTACTGGGCAGGGCTGCCAGCCTGCTTGGAACAGGAGTGGGAGAGAGGTTGATTGGAGGGCTGTGCCTGCCTGTAAAAGGTTTCCTCTCCCCGCCAAGGAAGGCCCCAATAAAGATATCTAGTCCAGGGAGCCTAGGTTGGAACCTCACCCCCCATGACTTTTGTGATACCACATTTCTATAGAAGTATAAAGCTTTCTTTTCTGTGAGTCTAACTCTTCCTTCTAGCCAGAACAGAAGAACCTAGACTGACAGAGTGAAATTATATAAGAACTCCAGCAAAAATGAACGGCTTGGAAGCCACACATTTGTAGGTATATAGTTCATGGAAATTTCTAACATCTCTAAAAGAAGTTTGTAATAAAGAGACAAAGCTGTAAAATAGTGGCTAGTGTGGATTAAACAGAGGAAATAAAATGTAAACCAAAACATTCACGTGTCTCTGCTTTTAGTTCTCTACAAAACACTGTTATGAGAAAACTGTGAAGTTGGAAATCATTTTGAGATGTCATTGACGCGGGTTTTCTAGACACCAACGTTCTTTATTTTGTCCAAGTATGTTTTCCACCTAACACCAGTTCCTTCATGGTGCTGAAAATACTGGAGACCTCGGATGCTTCTTCCATTCCACTCAGTTAAAAGTTTGAATTTGAGTAAGGAAGAAAATGGCAAATAGCCCCAAAGAGATGATCATTAAAGCAAAGATCACTCTTTTCTAAAAATAAAGAAGTAACCTGGGGGCTTCCCTGGTGGCATAGTGGTTGAGAATCTGCCTGCCAGTATAGGGGACGTGGGTTCGAGCCCTGGTCCGGGAAGATCCCACGTGCCGTGGAGCAACTAAGCCCATGTGCCACAACTACTGAGCCTGCGCTCTAGAACCCACGAGCCACAACTACTGAGCCCGTGTGCTACCATTACTGAAGCCCGCGTGCCTAGAGCCCGTGCTCCGCAACAAGAGAAGCCACCGCAATGAGAGGCCCGTGCACCACAATGAAGAGTAGCCCCCACTCGCCGCAACTAGAGAAAGCCCGCACACAGCAACGAAGACCCAGCGCAGCCAAAAATTAAAAAAAAATTTTTAAAAGAAGTAACCTGTTGTGTGTCTCCAATCTGCATTCATTCATTCATTCATTCAATTATTCATTCATTCCCAACTATCCAGCGGTATGCGCCAGGCACTCCGAGAGGTTCTGCCCATGATATGGGGAAAGAGAGCGGCGCATCCCAGACTCCATGGCTCTCACAGAACGAGCAGCTGGTGCTTCTCCTGACACTCGAGCCCTGTGTGGGGATCTGCTCAAGGATCAGTGTTTGGTTTTTTTTAGTTTAGTTTTTTTTTTTTTGGCTTTACCCCATGGCTTGCAGGATCTTAGGTCCCTGACCAGGGACCGAACCCGGGCCCTCAGCAGTGGAAGCCCAGAGTCCTAACCACCGGACTGCCAGGGAATTCCCGAGGTTAAGTTTTAAACCATATGTCTATATGCAAAGGAAACTTTCGGGAAATAGAAAAACCAAACTGCTAACAAGTGGTTCCCTCTGGGAAGCAGCATATTATAGGAGGACTAAGAAAAGGGAACGTCTCGCTCTCAGTATATTTGTGTCATTTGAATATGTTTCACAGTAGACATGTATTTGTGTTTTACTTCCGTGCCTTGAATGTATTTTTACAAGTTAATTTTCTCTTTTATAAAAGAATATTCAAAAGCTTCTCATCTGAAATGATAAACAGAGGAAGTTTCTGATTGTAAACATTATCATTCAGCAGTTACTATGTCCCGAAAATGCTCTCAGTACTAGATCAAATATGGTCCAAAGCAGTCTCTGAGTGATGGGGGGGAACATGAAAGGTTTAGTCTATAATCGTCTTTTTCCATCTCCGTGGTCGCTGGTTGGAGGAGTTGAGCTAGGCAGAAATCGGGTAGCGGAAGGCTTTGGAGGAAATGTGAGCTGAAAGAAGATCCTGGGGATCGGAGTTTGGTTTGAATAAGAAGGTGGGAGGCACGACTTGGTGTAAATCCTGCAAAGAGCCTTTACCAGATGAGAAAAAAGCGGGGACTCTGGAAGTAGCCCATCGGGCCCCTGGGCGGGGCTTCCCGAAACCTCTCTGGCATTGCCTTCTTCTTGGGCTCACTGCCCGGGAGAGGCGGGGGTGAGGGAGAAACCGTCGTGCTCTTGGTGTCCTATGAAGGAGCAGTGGTTAGAACAGAGCTCCACAGTTTTGTCTGGGTTTAAGTCTCAGCTCTGCCACTCCCCGCAGTGTGTACCTCTCCAAGCCTTAGTGCCTCCATCTGTAAATCCTGATAATAATGAGTGGTACCTGCCTCATGAGAGGGCTGCTGTAGGGGGACGCCATCCCTAACACAGCCTGCACAGGACGCCAAGGAATGTGGGTTTTCACTGCTGAGGACACCAAGGAACTCACCCCACAAAATGATAAAGTCTCAAAAGGCGGATAATGTCAAATGAAGAGAAAATCTGGAAGCATTCCCGGGGTCCACAAGGACACGAGAAAACGGAGGAGGAATAATGCCCTGGTCCCCCCTGGATGATACAGCCCAGAGGCCAGGAGCAGCGCCTGGAGCCCCATCCCATGGCTTGGGTTCCAATCCCGCCTCCTCCACACAATGGTTCACTTCTCCTGGTCTCAGTTGACTATGAATTGGACAATGATAGGACATACCACGTTGAGTTGTTGTGAGAATTAAAAGAGTTAATACGTGTAAAGCATTTAGAACATGGCACTTGGCAAGCTGGCTAAGAGCCCAGAAGAATCACCATTATTGGCAGTTAATGTCTAATGATTGCCCATGCAGAGCCCTGTCCCTGATAGAACTTTCTCCATCCCTAATGTTAGCTACAGAGTAGTTATGTGGACTCTGAGACTGACACCCTGACTGAACCATTTCAACCTCATCCAAATGCACCAGTTCTAAAGGGATTCCCCACCCCCACCCCCGCCAGATGTCAGCCACCTGAAGGTGGCTTAAAAGACCCAGCTGGGTGTTTACTGTGGTTTCTCCTCTCTCTGCCCGGGTCTGAGTGTTCACCACCTAAACCCTGGTTGGTCAGAGCCAAAACAAGCACAGACAAATGCCAGCCTTCTGCCAAGGATCTCATCAGCCACTCTTCGTAGACACAATTGATAGGGGTGTAAATACTCCTTAGCGATTGACTTCCACTTTTGTAAACCCTCCTTCTGGAGTCTGCTTCCCGGCAAACATAGCGGGCACGACAGGTGTCTGCAGGTACGGCAGCCAGGGGTTGGCCCCAGAGGGCTGGAGCCTGTGGATATGGCTCCGTCGACCCCAGACCCCTCCATTACAGCGTTACCCAATAACAAAGACTTCCATCAGGCTCACCCCAAGACTACTATTATTTATTAAACCCCGGTTACCAGAAACAGAATCCCAACAACAAATAATCCAGGATTACAAATATCGTCTGCCATTGCTGCCCAGGAAACATTAAGAGAAACTCCATCTCTGTTTTAAGAGACAAAACCAGACGACGGGGGGTATTTGAGAGCAGAGGCGTGAGGGTTACTTGTCGGGGTCTTTGCCACCATCAGCGATAACCCCGATCCTGTTCTCACCGAATTAGGAGAGTCATGAGGACAATAAGAACTTTCTGGAAGTTTCTCCTTTTAGACTCTGAAGGGAGTGCAGAAAACACCAGTTCTCCTGGGTTATTTATTGTAACAGATAAAGCCCTGTCATTCCTCGTGGCCACTGCCAGGCGCCCGGTCTTGATTTACCGGCAGAGACTTGGCCGGGCAGCCCGTCCCCCACTGGTGCAGCCCTG